GGACCAAGGCTCCAGGCATCCGGCAACCCAGAAAACTCCTTCCTCAGTGTCATGGGCTGACGTGTTCCCCCCGACCCAAGTTCCCCCCACCAAGCCCTCAGAATGGGGCTGTATTTGGAAATAGGGCCTCTAAAGAGGTAATTAAGTTAAAACACAGTCACATGAGTGGGCGCTGTCCTTATAAAGACGGGATCAGGACACAGACACACACACAGGGAGGACCAAGCGAAGACACGGGGAGAAGACCGCCATTTACAAGCACCAAAGGGACCATTGCTGCTGACACTTTGCTCCCAGACTTCTGGCCTCCAGAACTGGGGGAAAATACACGTCTGCTATTGAAGCTCACAGCAGATTTTGTCGCAATGGCTCAAGCAGCCTCAGACACCAGCCTGCGGGGTTCCCCAGACGGCACTCCTCCCGAAGTAAGGAGTCCTGGAGAAGGCAGGTGCTCCCCTGCTCCCCAGCCACAGGTCCCAAGGATCAGACCCTTCTCTAGTCAGAAGGTTCTTGTTATTGAGTTTCCATCTTTTATCACTTTCCCTTCCTTCTGGCCTGAGTATAGGGAGCTGTACAGGTCCCTGAGCATCCATGGTCCCAGCAGCCTTGGTCCACCACACATAGGCAACGCTCCTTTTCCCCTCTATTTCTGGTTCAGTTTCTGGACTCGTCCAGCATGAAACAGCCTGCCCCGTGTGGCGGTGAGCTCTACGCCATCCAAAGGTGTGAGATCTCAGACAAGCATCCACAAGGACCCCCCAAATTGGGGGGTCTGGGGCGCTGAATATGCTGAGCTCCAAGAGAGGTGGGGAGAGGCCAGAGTCAGAGCCCTGGATGCAATAGCAACCCCATGCCCTATGTCATGACCTCCTCCCCCCAGCACTACCACCCTCTCCACATGTTGGTGTGGCCATTGGAACAATGGGGTCAGTATAACAAGGAAGGAGCTGAGGTGCATAGTGGGGCTCCAAGCAGGAGGGTTTCCTCTCCCTCTGGCAGGTCCCTGGACTCTCACTGTGACAGTAGGACATCAGACAGGCTCTGTGACCAGCCCAGGCCACCCCAGAGAACAGAAGTCCTGTGGTCTTTCTTCCCTCACTTTGCTGCTGAGATTGATCAGGGATGTCCTGGGGGAATGGGAACTTGACCTGGGAATGGGGGGCTGGGGGAGACGGGTGCAGTCATCAAGGAAGGGGTTAAACACACAGTAGCACAGAGAGCGAAGTCAGAGGTCTCCTGTAGGAGCAGGAGGAACAGAGGGTAGAGGGCTGATGGCGCTCACTGCAAGGAGGGGGCAAGGAGCAGCCCAAGCCAGAGAACATCTCTCTCTGTTCCCCAGTGCCTGGCTCAGCGCCCCGGGCCTTCCCCCTCCGAATCACCAGGTGGCCTCCAGAGGGACTGGCCTGGCCTTTCCCATCCCCTCCCTCACCGGGCCTGAAATAGAGGCGTGCCATTTCCAGAAATGGCCTCACCTCACCTCAGACACCCGCCCTATTTTGAGAGGCCATCCCCTCACCAGGGCATCGTGGTGTGAGCACCCCCACACCCTCCTGGGGCAGGGGGCCGGGGTGGGGCATGTAGGGATGTCAAGGGACGCACCTCAACTGTTCCCTGCACTGAAGCCCAGCTACGCACCTGCCACAGGGCCAGCCTGGTGGTCTCCAGGCTCTGCGCCCCAGGTACCACTGCGTCCAACCCCTCCCCCACCCTGAGACTTAAGACAGGACTCCTCCGGTCAGCCCCGTGGTGAGAGGTGGGGACAGAAGGGGCAGATTCATCCAAGATCAATGGCGCCTGGGTGTGTCATGGGAGCCGGTGCCCCGAATACAGGCATCCACGGTTACCGAAATCATGTGGGGATTAGCGCTGGTGTTCCACACCAGATCTGCTCTTTCCTGGCGAGGCAACCCTACACATGTTACTGAACCCCACTGTGCCTCAGTTTCTCTACCTAGGCATAGTAACAGTGCCCACCTCACAGGTAAAGCAGTGACTCGCAAGGGCTTGGCACTGTGGCTGGCGCGGAACAAAGCCAGAGCGGCCTCCCAAGGCCAATGGGTCTCCCCCTTAGCTTTGTCTGCAAACGTCTGAGATGCTGGCCACGGTCACTACCAACGGGTCAGAGACTTCTGAGGAGCCACGACAGCTGCCGCCACAGCTCCTACCCCCCAGAAGGTGCCCAAAATGATCTGTCAACTGAATCCCCCGTTCACAGTGGAGCAAACCGAGGCCCTGAGAGGATGGTATCTTGTCAGAGGATCTGAACCCGGGCAGTTTGACTCCAGAGACCACATGCTGGACCCCGACACTAAACCGCCTTTCATGAAAATTGCTGCATTAAGCCAAGGACACCCCAAGTCTGCAGAAGAGGAAATGAAGACCACAGGAAGGCTAAGTCATGCCTTCAGAGGGCAGGATCCGGGACCTGGATCAGATCCAGGCCAGCACGCCCGCTCTACCACTCCACTATAGCATCTCAAGCTTTGCCTACCTCTGCCCATCTGTGACGTCCTCGGGGGGCAGACAAAGCCCACCCCAGAGTCCATCCCCCAGCCCTAGGGCCACTCCAGGGAGCTCCCTGGCACCTTGAGGCTCCAGCTAGAGCCATCTCCCAGGCACCCCAGAGTCTTGGAGGTTAGGCGTCCTTACCCCAACTAGTACCTGGGGAAATAGAGGTACAGGACTTGCCCACAACTAAAGAGACAAGCCCAGACCTCCTATTTCCCTCTCCAGACCAAGAAAATTCGCCAGAAGAAAGCGCTTCTCTCAGCCCTAGAACCTAGACCCTTCCAGAAGTGCCTCCAGCCAGGAAGAAAAGCAGGACTGGAATAATGATCACTGCTCCTGCCCCACGGCTGGCTTTCCTGTCCCTGTGGGGGAATGCAGCCCAGCAGCGGACAGATGGGCTCGGTCCTGGGGACCACCCCAACCACGGAGGTCCCAGCCCAGGCCAACCACAGTCGGGCCAGGCCAGGCCACAGGAAGAGGACAGCAGAGCCTCCATCTGCTTCCCCTGCCTGCCCTTCCCACCCTTCAGGCACGGGGCCAGCTTCTCAGCCTCCAGACAGCAGCCCCTCTGTCCCTGCAGGATGAGCTGACCTTTCACTGGCCAGAAAGTCCCACGGGTTCCATCCCCCTGCCTGAGGGAACGGATGAGGAGAGAGGAGGGAGGCAAGGGGCAGAGAAGAGCCCAGGGCTCACTCAGCCTCTCCTTCCTCCCCCGTCCTGCCTGTCATGGCTGAGGTCTCCCTCTGCCCTGCCGTCTGCCCCTTGTCTTCACTCATGGCAGTGGGCCTTCCCCAGCCTCTCTTTTCCCCTTAACTACCTTACCTTTTGTTTGCCTGGCACTTCATAGTTTACAGATTGTTTTGACATTTACCATTGCACGGAATCCACCACAGGGAGAGAGGATGGGGACACACCGAAAATACCTTGAAATTGCCAAGTGTTCTTGTTAAAAATGCAAACATCCCCAGGATGAAGACCGATTAGGCTGGCAGCCACTGGTGGCTCAGAGCTTATTCATTTCATCCTCTGCCCTCTCCCCAGGCACTCAGCACAGCAGAGGGAGGGCCGGGGTAGCAGGGAGCAGTGCTTGGGGAGGTGCCTCCGCAGAGTGGGGTATCTGAGCCCCTGGGGGAGGAGAGAGAGGAGGATGGGGAGGGCGGGGACTAAGGTAGACTTGAGGACAAGCCATTCACTTTGCAGTGCTGCCTGCCTGTAAACAGCATGCTCTCATCTAGGCCTAAATTCTAGCCCAACCACCGCCCATGTCCCACTCACTCGGAAATCCATCACTCATTTGGTAGCTTGAAGGTCAGAGAGAAAATCGTTTTTCAAGAAAAGGCCTAGAAGACTTGCAGAGTAGAGTCAACAAACCCAAAACCCTGGAGAAGAAGGTGGAAGGAGGCGGGGGTGGGGGTGCAGAAGATCAGGAGCAGGGGGCAGCCAGCAGGCCTGGCTGTCCCTAACCCGGCTCTGCCCCAGGGCCCAGAGTCCCCAGGACGGCACACCCCCACCCACCATAGGACCAGCTGCAGCCCGGAGCCTGGGAGCTGGAGTCCTTGAAAGGACATATCCTGGGCCGTGGGGTTAAATCAGAAGACCCTTCCTTCGAGGGGGTGTCTCAGTTATCCCCAGCTGAAAACCAGGGGATGGGCCGAGAGTCCCGAGGTTCCTTCCAGCTCCCGTATGCTGCAGTCCCAGGACCAAATCAGAAAAGCGAGTCTGCGCCAAACCCCAGCCAGGCGTCTCCAGGGCTCCCGGGCCCCAGGCATGTTCACTTTTGGAGCCCCGCCCCGCCGCCCACATTCAAATGAACCACACAAACATATACAACCCACAGCTAAACGTCAAAGACTGAACGGAGTCGCTGATGCCCACTTGACATAATGCTCGGTTTTGTAGCTAAATTAAACACGCATTAATTTCGACTGCGGCTTACTTTTCAGATTTTGGAGCCTATCAGTTTCCAGCTCTCAAACATTTTTGTTGGCTATTGATGAAAGTTTGCAGGCCCTACATGCTGGGTCTAATTCCTAGTGCTCTGACCCAGGGGGAGTCAGGCCGCAAGCCTGGAGACATCTAAGAGCAGGTTTCAAAGACATCTAACAAAGTGCTGCATTTGCTGCACAAGAATTCTGTCGAGCTCCACTCAAGGCCACCTCCTCCAAGGAGTCCTCCCAGGCCACTCCAGGGCCACGCCAGCTCTTGAGAATCCCTTCCCTGCCAGTCTCAGAGGCCAGGCCATTTGTTCCTTAGTGGTTGTTCGCCTGCATTCTTTAGCTCTGTCTTCATTGTTTCACACATTCCTGTTTTGTCTTATCTGTTTTGTCTTATCGTCCCCCATGGAATTGGGAGCTCTCCGAGATGCCGTGGACCTCACCTCTGCCTCCCCTCTGAACCCGGTACAGGGCCACAGCCCACCAGCAGCACCGAGACCGCAGGAGCAGGACAGTGCCGCGGGGAGGGGAGCTGCTGGAAGTCTGGGTGCCACCTACCCTCCATGCCGTCCTCTCGATGCCCATCGAAGTTGTCATAGGAATCCCAGCGGATGAGGGGGTCAGAGGTGTTATAGTCCACAGACACACTCGGCCCGTTCTCCAGGTGTTCCATGCCTGAAAAAATGGGGCAGGAGTGCAGTGAAGAGAAAGGAAAAAAAAAAGGATCAGCAGCTGGAAAAACAGAGGCAGCCAGCAGCTCCCCCAGGGCTGCTCCCTGAGGGGCTTCTCCTATTCCTGACCATGGTGGGGTGCGGCCAGTGGCACAAAGTGGGCAGAGAACCCAGGAGTCTGGCTCCTTGCATTATTCTTTTGTTTTATTTTGTTTTAGGATAGAGGGCAGAGCAGAGGGAGAAGGAGAGAGAGACCCCCAAGCAGGCTCCACGCCCAGCGCAGAGTCCAACACGAGGCTCGATCCCACGACCCTGAGATCATAACCTGAGCTAAAATCAAGAGTCAGACACTCAACTGACTGAGCCACCTAAGCGCCCCTGGTTCCTTGCATTCCTGAAAAGGCTCATACCCGGTTATAGGGGTAAATCAAGACAGGATACTGAGGAATGAAGACCCCACCCCCCAGGAGAAAGCTGGGGGGCCCTCTGGCTAGGTGTCTGCCTCTTCCTTTTCCGTGTCCCAGGGGCCCTTGCAGCAGTGCCAGGAGACCAGAAAGGCTACCCCTGGAGTCAGGAGGGGTGTAGAAGAGGTTGGTGATGAGCAGCATGGGGTCAGGACAGCAGGGAAGTCATGGCCATGACACTGAGAGGATACAAGGTCATTTGAGCCATCCCCCTGCCTCCTACTTAAGGTGTTCCCGGCTCCAGGCAGAAATCTGAGGGGAAAAGCAGTCTCTCCTATGCACCCATAGAAAGATGAAGACCACATGAGCCACAAGCCCTGCCTCCCGGGGCAAGTCCCTTTCCTGACCTGGCAGGCCTTCCTTGAATCTTCCCAGAGTCCCTCCGCCTGTAGCCTAACTTCATCTTGTCTCATTCTGTTCTCAAATAGGATAGAGAACAACTGGTCTCCACATATAACAAGTTTAAAGGCTTCACGACTATTATTAAACTGGCCTTCTCATCTTCAGGTTGAACCTCCTCAGTTTTCATAAATACTTCTCATGCAGCTAGTACCCCTGAATGTGCCTTCAGCCCCTCCTTCCATCTGCCACAGCCCTCAGTCTTGGAATATAATGGGATGGTGACCTAATGGGACCAGAACAGTATACCGAGCCCAGCACCTCTTGGTCGGCTCTTTTATTTTTATTATCCAAAGATTAAGTCACTGGTTCATGTTTATCTGGGGGTCCACTGTGATACCCAGATCCTTTACTGCTGGCCTGCCTCCCATTCACAGGCAACTTGATAATTGTAGAGCACTTGAGTGGAAGAACTGTGGAAGTAGGGAGAGGACAGGTTAGGATGGAGGCAACGGGGTAGAAAAATGAACTCTAACAAGCTTATACCTTGAATTTTCTCTGGTCCATAAGAAAATACAAATTCTACTTTGCCATATTCTGGAAATCGATCATCTGAAAAGGGAGAAGGAAAAACAAAAATGAGCAATTAATTCCCAAAAAGGACTCCAACTTTAATCTTTCTAGAGAAGATTAAAATAATATGCACATATATGGTTGATAAAACTATAATACTCTATACACATATATATAAAATATATATATAGATATAGATATACATATATATATCTAAATATATATATATAATGAAATAGGCCTCTTGCCCACTTTTGGCCCCAGTCCTACTTGCCTGAGATAACCATTCCCATTTCTATTTCTTATTCTACAAGCTGTTACCTTAAGACTCTAAATAGTCACTATTTTTATGCCACCATTTCCTGATACACCAATTTCCAGTAATCTCCCTTGATTTACCACTAGGAAGATAACAAATTTGGCCCACTAATATCACTCCCATCTCCCTTATTAATTCTAATAGTTGTAGGAGTAGTATTTATTCTGATTGCCTTTGAAACTTTAAACACTACAGCTAAGCCTATATTTCTTGACCTATTGTCGATGGTGTCCTCTGACTCCCTCGTGTAAGAGGAGAAAGTTTGTGCCCCCACTTTCCCTGCCTCTACGGACTCCACCTTGATGTTGTCTGCTGTCCCTTTATGTTTCCCTGTTAAGACTGATAACGCTAACATTCCGCTCTGTAATTATGATGGCATCTTCTGTTTCTGCCCTCCCGGCTCCTGTACAGAGGAAACTCATCACAGAAACATTCTTCTACTGCAAGAACCAGACTACATTGTGTGTGTGTGCGGGGGGTGGGGGTCAGGCTCCTCTCAGCTCCCTTCCCCCACCCTCCAAGCCCCAGCTCTATTCTCTGCTCTTGGCCTAAGTGCAGTCTGGACAAAGATTATACCATCCACCACTTGTGGGAAGAGAAATTACAGTAGTGATGGTGACTGCCTGTCATCCCTGTGCATGTCTCTATCACTGTATGCGCCACTTCATAGTACCCCACTTGTGTGTCTCTTTCTCCCATGGAACTGCAAGCTCCCTGAGGGTAGGGCCTGACTTCTTTCTCTTTGTAACCCCAGGGTCTAGCACATGCCTGGCACATATAGACCCCCAAGTATTTCTTGGAGGATGGATGGATGGATTTGGATGGATAGGTGGATTGATGAGTGGGTGGGCGGATGGACAGATTTAGATGGGTAGGTGGATAGATGGATAGATGAATGGATGAATGGATGGATTTAGAAGAGTGGATGGATGGATTTGGAGTGGATGGGTGGATGGATTTGGATGAGTGGATGGATGGATGGATGGGTGAGTGGATGGATGGTTGGATGGATGTGGATGAGCAAGTAGGTGAATGGAAGGATGGGTGTGTCGATGAGTTAATGGGTGAATGGATGTGGATATTGTCCCAAGTTTCAATGTGATACAGACAAAACCTTAAATAGATAAAGAAGCAAAGGAAGACACCTCCCTAACCACCTCTCCCTCCCTCCCTCAGAAAATGGTTCCCCCTTCACTGCTGCCATAGTTCCTCCATTATCACTCTTCTACCTTATGGTATTATTCCCTGCAGGGTCTATGTCTCTATTCAGTGAGCTCACCTTTGAAGGCATCATCAAGGTCTTCCTTCCCAAAGACAACCCCCAGGTCATGGATGGCACAGGTGTGGAACTGCACACGGAAGATGACATCTCGGGCTGGGCTCCGGAACTTCTTGTGGTAGCACTTCAGCTGGTGGGAAGGAGAGCAGAGCCCATCAGGGGCCAGAGGAGGGGAAATCAGATCTCAGGGAGCTCCTTATTAGCTCCATGACTAAGATCCCAGGGCTCCCCCAAGCCTAATGAGAGAGAGGTCACCAATACCATATAGAATCTTAAAGCTATCTGGGGAAACTTCCAGAAAACAGAATGTTGGAGGCCAATCTTATCCTTTGGGGACAACACTGTCCTCCCAAAAAGTTCCTGCACACAGAATGGAAAAAGGAGGAGTGAATTTAAATTGCAGAAGGAAAGACTAAAGTTAGAGTTGAGGAAGTCCTGTCACCACAGGAAGCAAGAAGGTAACAGCTCACATGGAGAGATATTTCCCTGGAGATATTCTAGAACAAGAAATAAGCACAGGAGAAGGGATGTCCAGCTCTGAGGCAGGGGAAGGCCTTGCAGGAGCCCTGAGGGCCTATGGCCCCACTGCCGGTGTGACAAGAGTGACAATCCTGTTAGGAGGGGAGCAGGAAGAGGGAAGAAAGGAGAAACAATAAACAGGGAGGAGGGGGCTTGAGACAGAGGGGCAGCACTCACCAAGATGTCTCCCTTCAAGAGCAGCCCAGGCTCGATGGTGATGCAGATGCTGGTCTGGCTGTCTCCTTGGACATTACTGGGGGAGAGGGGAGCGGAGAGAAAGAGAGCTGCTGAGGGGGGCAGGCCTTGCACTTACTCCCTGCTCCCCCTGCCAGAGGGCTCCTGGGAAGGCTTGCTGCCTCTGTCTCTCAGCCCTCTGCCAGATGAGAGCCTCCCAGAAGTCCTGGCCCCATCCCCCCACACTCTTGTCCCTGGGCCTGGGCCTCAGGCCTCGGGCATGCCCAGCCTCTCATTCCCGAGGAATACCTACTAGATGCCAGATGTGTAGACAGGCTGCATGGCCTGGTAGATCCGGAGAAAGGGCCGACACCCTGTAAGGGAGAGTGGTGTTAGCGGGCATGGTGTGGGGGCAGGGGGAGTGGGGGAAGGAAGGAAAGGCTGGGGAGAGCAGAAGTAGGAAGGAAAAATGAAAAGAGAAAGGAGGAAGAAATACTAGCTTTTCATATGGGAGGCATTTCTGAGTTTAGAAAAAGCATGGCCGCATCCAACTTCCCGCGCCAGCAGGCACCGCCAGAGTCAGTCCCATGAAGCGACCCGGAGCTTGGAGAAGGCTCAGGAGGTGGTGCGGTCCAGACTCCCACCCAAGCCCACGTTTTTATGCCCTAAGGCTGCCTCTTGAAAAAAGAAGGTGGGAGCCAGGAGGGGAGGAAAGCCAGAGGGCTCGGGCAGGTACCTCCTTTAGACTCAAAGTTGGGGATGCCGTGCATGATCACATGGTGCAGAAACAAGGGCTTGTTGTTCATTTTGATGGAGCCAGAGAGCAGGCCACTGAAGTAGTGCACATACCTGCGGGCAGGGAGAGAGAGGCAGCGTCTGCCTGGAGACTTGTCCTAGAGCAGGGCCATCCCCGTCTCTCTTCTGGCCCCACCCAGCCCACCCACCCCCCAACTCTCCTAGGTCTCCTGGAAGCTGGGGTCTGTGCCCCAGCACAGTCCTTCCTAGCTGCCTGGAGTCCTAGGTAGGGAGGACAGGCAGGAACTGCTCAACTAGGAGCTGTGTCAAACCCTTAGGACTGGTGGGGGGTGGGGGGGTTCTCTGGCGCCCCCTCGTGGTCACCATGAGCATCTCGTTCCAGCTTCACTCCCAGCCCAAAAACCTCCTGCTAGACCAAAATTCCTCCCACACATCCCTGACATCCCTCACATCATTAAGCTGCGCGCTACTGCACACGGTGGGCTGATCAACCATCAGACATCTCTAATACTCTCACACAAAGCTTAAACCAAGCTTACATTTACACCCAATGCCCCAGTTCTGCCCTGACAGACCCACCAGCCACATGACAGTCCAGCAAACATTAAGAGCTTAATAATTATGGTCCCTATTTTACATCACACGGAAATGTATTAAATCTCCCTCTATATATGGTATTGAAACACATTTAACTTCCACTAAGCATTCCTATCCCTAGGGTCTAGACTCCCCAATACTTTCTGGATCTTATTGGAAGAATGCAAGAATTAACGCATCTCTATTCCTTCTAGAAGAGAGGGGAAATGGGGTCCAGAAAGAGTTGCTGACCCATAGCAAGAACACACAAAACTGGGGTGGGCAGGGAGAGAGGAAAAACTGTCTGAATTTCAGTGCACCTGCCAGAAAGAGAGGTCCGTCCTTCTGCTGGGGCTTGGTTGAGGCGTCCTCCTTGTCTGAATGGCCAGAGGACATGAGCTGGGTCAACCAGACCAATCAGAACTCATCCTAAGACTCCGTGAGGGGCGTGGGGGCTCTCTCAGGCTGGCAGACACAACCCCCATGACCATGACAACGGTCCCCTCCTGTCTCTTGGCTCCTTGACCCACCAGGCCTGCAGGCCTCTGTCCCTGGGCCTGGGCGGGGCCGCCTTGCACTCCCCAAGCCAGATAATCTGATGGGCACCACCAGTTCCTATTCAGCCCCTGCCCAGCCCCCAGCCCCGTTACTCAAACCGGAAATCTGGAATGGCGGTTCCTATCAGATCTCCAGCCCGTGCCAACAGGATGTGTCTGTGTGCTGGGGACAATGAGTCCGGGGGTGGGGTGACAATGAATGGAGGAGTTGCAGGCAAAGCCCCTCCCCCCCACCCTCCTCTCCTCCAACTGATCCATTCCCTACAAATGACACTGCCCAGAAGGCGGGAAAGTGGCAACAAATACGCAGTGAAGCCGACAGCCGCACTTTCACACGGGCCCAGACAGAACTGCCCGCCCGTAAGCAGATACACTTGCAGATACAAGCTGCCAGGCAGACAGATACTGTAAATGCCCCCGCCCCCGGCCACGTGCGGTGTGAGCGGGCGCGCCACACCATAGACTCGCCAGACACTCCTACTGCTGAGAGGGGATACGGAGCCCGGTCCCCAGGCTTTCAGCTACAGGGACGTGGCTGCTCCACCCACTTCCTCCAAGCCACATGGTGCCGTCACTCCTTCAGAGCAAGACTCGTGACCAAGGCCACCAGTCTTATGTGGCAAGTGGGTACTTGAACGACAGCATCTTTCCTCCCTGGGAAAGACTCTCTCCGATCCACAGCTGCTATGTCTGGCAGCCCAGCCAGAATTTTCTGCACATTTCTGATGGCTGATCTGGAGACCAGGTCCCAGCGGTCCTGCGGCCACCGGGGGGTCTGGGGACTCACTTCTGCTTGGACTCCCTGCTACAATGGCAGACACAGTCACTGGCAGAGCCAGCAGCCTTCTAACAAGGCAAGCAAGGTGGGGTGATGGGGGATAAGATGGGGAACCCCAGCAGGGAGAGGCCAGGGACTCCCGCTGGCCCTGTCAGCGTTCAGAGGGGCTAGAAAAGCCAGGGGGATGCTTTGGCCCCGGGCCAGCCTGCTTGCTCTTCCCTCTTGCGTGGTTACCGTAGACCTGCCCCCGATGCTTCCTTCCTCCCCTCAGAACTCGCCGGCCCCACACGTCACCTTCTCCCCAAGTTCAGCCCCCGCGCCCACCGCATCGCTCTCAAAGCCATCATGTTCTGTTTGGGTTTTCCCCCCCTTCCAAGTACTTCTCATGACCTTAAAGTATATTGATGGCTCATGTCCTACTGAAACAGCCAGCACAGCCACAGTGCATGGAGCAGTGTGGCCCATCATGGACACGGACAGGTGGCGGGCCCCCCTCTCTGGCTACACGGTAGCTGGACCCCATTCCCCATCTCCAGTTCTCCCCTCTGGGCCTGGGATTCTGCCTTGCCCTCACCGGCGGCCTCCCCACAGCCCACCAGCCCTGACTCTACCTGTGCTCACCTGTGGACCAACCACCATCATTACACAGCGCATTATCCACAGAGCAGAATCCAGCCCTCAGGACTGGGGGTGGCATGAGCCCAGGGGGAACCTGGCCTGGCCTGACTTACAGGCCCCTGAGTACCTTCTAGCTCTGCTCCTACTCGCTACGGATCCTGGCCATGTTGAGTCCCCTCCCTAGGCTCAGGCTTCTCATCTGTAAAATAGGGATATGCCCTGGATGGTCATACGGTAGCTCATCATTATTACTCAGGTTTGGCCTCAAAGCCACCAGCTCTGACAGGTGTTCCTTGATCCCCTTCACTAAATATCCCAAACCTCCTCCATCAGGTCTAACCCTCTCCATCCTCTTCCTCTCCTAGCACCAGCCATTACTGAAATGGTCCTGTCGGTCTACCTTCAGTGCGAGGTCCATCCTTCCCAATGGGATATCAGTTCACTGAGGGCAAAGCACTGTGTCCTGTTCAACTAGGTGTCTCCAGCACTTAGAAAGAAGCAGAGCACCTGAACCTTGTCCGGTGGATGAATGAACCATCTCTGCCTTACTTTCTGCCTAGGCTGCCACGGACTCCAACGAGACCATGTGCTTGAGAGCCCTTGGGTAAATTTTTAAAGCTCTTCCAACAGAAGATGACCCTTATGGTAAGAATCTGTGACCTCTCCAGGGCAGGTGGCTAGGACGTCTGCCTCCTGTAGGCTCATCCAAGCACGGAAGCAAGAATAGCACCGCCTTCTTATACAAGCTGCCTTCTGACACCCAAACCAATGTGTCCCCCACCAGTGGCCCCATTGCTCTCCAGCACTGGCCTCAGGAGCCAATGGCCATGCCTACCCGTGGGTGCACACAGCTGCCCCTGGGCTCACCCGTGTCCCTGAGCTCACACCACTCTAGGATAGCACCTGAATATGCATGTTCAGTACACAACCCCCTGAGGCATGTCTGTTCCAACCCCAGCCTGGATAGCAAGCTCTCACACACACACACACACACACACACACGTAGGCACTGGCTGTGAGCCCTGGAGACCCACCTTCTCTGGGATGGCTGGCCAATGGGCACAATCTTATCCTCATAGAACCGCTTCATGGCAAACCGGTCCAGGGCCTGATCAGCGCTGCGGGGAGAGACGGGTGCTCAGAGGAGCCAACTCCTATGGCCAACAGCCCCTTGCCTCCCCAACCCCAGACCTATAGAGCCCTCCAGCCACCCTATGCTGAGCAGCTTTCAGAAAAAGGGTGCCCCAACATCTTTCCATCCTGTATGCTGCAGGCCTCAGCATGGGGGCTTTGGAGCCAGACAGCCTGGGTTCCCATAGCAAGTCTGCCACTTACTCCTCAGCCCTGTGTCCTGAATCAGGTTATTTAATCTTTCTGAACCTGACTGCCCTTCCTGTCAAATGGGAGTGACCAGTGTCTTCTTGAAGCTTGTTATGGCAATTAAGTGAAATAACATCTACAAAGAACTCGATACACAGGGGCCCACAGTGGGTACATAGGAAACGTTCACCATGAAGGGAACATTAGGCTGGGTTGAGTTTCTTAAAGTCACAAAACTACCATCTAAGCCTCCATAGAACATTTTATCTTATCTATCTGCAAAGAGATCATTAAAAAAAAAAAAAAGACAGATGATGTAGCCCCTCTGTTCTTAACTCTCCAATGACATCCCATCCTAAACCCCAAAGTCTTTATTGAGGCCCACAAGGATAAGATCACTTCTAGATGGTTCTGCCAGACCCAGATCTGAGCCAGCATTTCTTTCTGACTCCCTCACCAGCTCACTTGAGAAAACAGAAGGCCTTTTGCCAAGGAAAAGTGGCCCCGAGATGGTGGTGGGTTGGGGTGTCCATAGATGGGCCTGCCTCCCAAGGCTGCTCCCACCAGTGCTCCCAGTAGAGGGAGGGACTTTCCTTTCTCCTGCCCCCCACCACACACAGCCACCTGCCTCAGAGCTGTAGACTCCTTTCTGTGGGCTCCTCCACCCTATCCCCAGCACCTGTGAACCCCAAGGAAGTGAGAGGCCGAGGAGGGATGGGCAGAGGGGGGGTCCCACTGACAATATGCAAAGAACGGGGGGCTCTTACCTGGCAGAAATGTTGCTGTAGTGCATGTAAGCCGCAATGACAACGCCTATCCTACCTCGGTTTCCCTAAAAGAACCCCAAACACAAAGTCTTTATTTGTAAGGCCAGCCCTACTGCCCCAGAGCCCATCCGGAAGCCTGGAGAAAAAGGGGGCAGTGGCTGGGGAGAGGGGTGTGGTTCTAAGGGAGAACTAGATGGAGGAGGGAAATGCAAGGGAGGGAAGCAGGTCAAGCTGAATCTCAAAGAGAAGAAATACAGCCGATCATCTACTACCCTTGAGGGCCCCACAAGCTCATTTCTTGGGGGTGTCCCCTGGGACAGAAGTTACTATCTCCTAGAAAGGAGAAAACACAGACTTGCATGCTCACACGGTCCGTTGACACAGTCAGGCACACACACTCATCCAAGGCCACATCCATGCCTGTGTGCATGTATGACCACATAGGCACGTGTGTACACATGCACACATATGCACACACACAGGTGCACACGCACACCTGGCGTACCCCCACTCTGACCTTATTATGTAGAACGACGACGTTGTGAGGGTCTGCGTTGAGCCAAGTGTCCATGGCCTTGCAGACACTGCAGATCTTCTCCAGGGCGGGGGTGTGAAGGTCAGGCCAGCCAAATTCCAGTACCTACAGTCCAAGCCGTGAGTGAGAAGGGACAGAAGCCCCAGAGAGTGGACCAAAGCTAGGGGGAGGGGGCACAAACCCCACACCCAGGTGCCACAACAGCAGCACCCACCCACCCACCCACCTTGCTTCCTGCCCTGCCCATCAGCCCAGAGGGGAGGTGAAGGTGTAGATGCAGAGGACACCCACCCAGCACCAGAGACCCAGGGCCCGAGTCTCAGCTCTCACATTGCCTCACACTAGGGCCTCTGGCAAATCGCGGCCTCTGTCCTGGCCTCAGTTTCCCCATATGTGTGTAAAGCCAATGACTGCAAGATCCTTTCCACATGATTCTGACTCCAAAATGTGCTGGGGCCCCCCAGTACTTCCCCCAAGCTCTCCTCCCACAGACAACCCCAAGGCCTGGCTCAGGGACAAAGAGGGGAAGTCAAGGGCCCCCAGCCATTGACATCTCTTTTCCAGGCCCGGACACACAAACCATGGGCTTTCCAGGCCAGCCAAGAGAAAACTGAAGGGGACAGAGGGTAGAACTGAACAGCAGCCTTCAGGCTCCTCGAAACTTTTAACTCACAGATCATTAAATGGAGAGAGAATTCTTGCTCAGAAGAGCCAAGCGAGCACATCTCATCTAGCCTATCCACTATCAGAGGTGCAAACTGAGGCCCAGAGAACTGTCACCTGCCCAGGGTCACAAAGTAAATGGGCCCCAGAATCCGGGAGCTCAAGCAGACATCCGTGCAAAGCCCAGCGCTCAGCCCGCTGAGCCAGTAAGTGAAAAGGGGCCATAGGCAATTCCCAGCCAGTTTAAATGCAAAATGCATTTCAATATGGCTAGAAATCTCATAGCTCCAGCCTCACCCCAGAGATACTCTGTGCACCCCAGGGGGGGCAGCACTGGGTAGGAAATCGCTGCATCCAGCTTGGCTCTCAGCAGTTTGTATTGCAAACACAACAAACACAGTCTTTTCCTTGTTCCAAAGAGAAGATGACACAGACTGGGAATAGGATTGGCAGAAGGGTCTCAGCACTTCCCCCCAGATTCTAAAGCGAGAACCACAGGGAGACAGAGACCGTCTATTCTCCTTCTCTTCCAGGCAACGGGAAGCCCCCACCCCAGATCGGTATTGGCTCACCTTGGCGTGGAGCTTTGTGATGTCTGGCCTCCGCTCAGAAAGGTTGAAAAGCTGGGAGGAAAAGGAAGAGATTGTGAGATAGTGTTCGCTGTCTTCTGTCTTTCTGTCTCTTTCTCTCCTCCCCCTGCTCGCCCCCCTCAGTGAAAATCCTACCCATGCAAGAGTTTGCAATGGCATCCCATCAGACACACACACACACACGCTGATCGACAAGAGCTCAACAGGTTCTCAAGGTAAAGAGAGGTAGAGGGAAGTACATAGACACAGCCACTCCCCTCAGGGAGCAGACAGACACCCAGAACTGAAGACAAGAAGGGGACAGACGCAGCCTGTCTCAGGTCCCACGTGCCCCCTGCAAGGTGAGCGTCTTCATACCCTGAATGGGAGTCCGGGAGTGTTAACTGACAAGTATTTGGCCATCTCTGGTTTCCACTTCCCACATCGATGTCAGAACCTCATCACCCGAAAATGCAACAGCTGTGCAGCAGGACACCCTCCTTCAGAGGGGGAAAATCACCCCGAGTGGGCCCTCTCAGACCCTCGACACCCCTCTCCCCACAGATGCCCTCCGACACCTCACTGTGTCCCACAGGATTCCCCCCAGTCCCTGGAATTCCCTTCTCCACCTCCAAAGGAGGGGCACAGAATTGCCATCTTCCTGGGGAGAAAAGAGGGCCCACAGCCTGCTGTGGGTAAGACAGAGGGAGGGCAGCGCAGCACAGAGACCCATAGGATCCTGGACTCCTGACTGGGAACCATCTCAGAGGGCTACCAGGCCATTCTTGGACCCCACAAGGGCTCACGCTTTAGCACATCAACAACAGGTCCCACGCGAGTATCCCCAGTCTGCCAGCTCACACTGAGGCCTTTACATCTAGCAGAGGGCTTAATCCTCTCAACCACCAGGTAGAGGTAGGTGGTGTAATTAGACCCATTTCACAGATGCACAAACTAAGGTTTTGTGAGGTAAAGTGGGTTAGAGCAGAGCCTACATTCAAGCCCAGGACTCTTCCAATGTTTGAATCAGAGTCCTCAACAATGCCCACCATGGCTGATGGACAGACCTCTGCGGTGGGTTCAGCAGCATCCCACAAAGATTCATATCCACCTAGAACTTCACAATGTGACCTTATTAGGAAACAGAGCCTTTGCTGATGTAAGTACTTAAGGATCTCAAGATGAGGTCATCCTGGATTTAGGGCAGGCCCAGGATCCGATGCCTGGTGTCCTTATAAGATGAGATGAGGAGGCACAGAGAGACCCAGGAAAGAAGGCAGGCCATGTGGGGACAGAGGCAGAGTGATGGGAGTGATAGAGCCACCAGCCAAGGTCACCGAGGATTGCTGGGAAGCACCAGACCCCAGGAAGGGGTATGGCCCTGCCAACATCTTGGTCTAGACTTCTAGCTTCCAGAACTGTGAAAAAATTAATTCTATCATTTATAGACCAGCCAGCTGTGGTCATGTGTTATGTGTCAGCCCTCGGAACCAAATATGGCCTCCCACTGCCTGCCTCGGCTCACATCGCATTGAGCCTGCCCCGTCCCGTCTGTAGGTCCAGCCCAACCCCACAGGTGCTTCCCTGTAAAGTGGAACCAAGCCCTCCTCTGGGCCCGATCCCACAAGCCAGCCCTCTGACATCAGAGAACACCACTGGCCCCCTCATCCACGTCCGTGACGCGCTCCTCCTGGGCCAGGCCCTGCCCCCGTGCCAGCCACACAAGGTCCCACAAGATGCCCGTGCCACAACTCTGTCCTCAGACCTCAGCTCTGCCACTTCCCAACGCTGTCACCTGAGGCAGACCCCCCCCCCACCCCCACTGCGCTCCAGCAAAACCTGATTTCTAGAGCTAGCTCGAGGTTAAATATGTGGATAGCAGTTAGAACGGGGCCCGCCTCAGAGGGAGCGCTCGATAACATGAACTCGGTACACACACACACGCACACAGACACACACACAGGCATACATGCATGCACACAGGACTCGGGTCCAGGTGCCGCATTCCAGCTGTGACACACTCCTCCCAGCAAAGTGGGGCCAGAGAGTGAGTGGGGATTCGGTACACAAGCAAGGCACATAAATCACGGGAAGGAGGGGGAGTTGGCCCTGGGGGACACCTGAAGCAAGGGGGTGGCGAGCAGAAAGGATGGGGGCACCGGGCCCCTCCTCACCAGGTAGCTGCCGCCATGCTTGGACTTGAGCATCTGGGCCACCTCTCGGAGGTTGCTCCGGAAGTTCTCCTCATTGGCCGTGCTGGGGAAGGAGACGGCGATGATCCTCTCGGTGACGTACACTAGGTCCAGCTCACAGCTGTCCTCCATGGCCCGGCTCACACTCATGTTTCTGGAGAGACAGGGGGCAGAAGGGGGTCCAGGTCAGGACCCAGCTCCTCAGGGCAAGGTTCAGGTAGCTGTAGCCCCTGCATACCACGTGGGGCCCCCAATTCCATCCCAGGAGACTTGGATCTCCCCTGACCCAGAGCCAAGCCTGGGGCCTCCCCTGGCCAGGCCCGTGCAGTCAGCAAGGCCAGCCTGGGAGCCTGGGCGCACCCGGCCGGGGGCTGGCAGGATCTCGGGCCATTTCTGTCATGACAATAGTCCTAAATGCCCATCCACCCTGTCGGCGCTGCCTTCAACCTGTGAACCCAGAGGTCAGGGCCATGACAGGAGGTAGCCAAGAGTCCAGCTCAGCCTCCCGACACACCGCGGCCACCTGGTCTGGCAGCCATCTCTAGAAGGGTCCCGGGACAGATTTTGAAGAGGAAGGAGAGCCTGAGTTGGGTGCTCTCTAGCATCCCAGGGCTGAGCAGCAGGCTGCCTTCCCCCTCGCTCAGGAGCGAGGGTGTACAGAGGGTGGGGAGTCTTCTCGGGGGAAAGAGCAGGTCAGGTGACATTCTCACCTGGGCTCCAGGTAAGCCAGACCACAGTGCCCATTCCAACCCTCCCCAGAGGCAGGCCAGCTACCGCCCTTTGTTCCTTGGCTGTCCCTCACGTCTGGCAGCTCCCACCACCTTGCCTAGGCTATTTCTTGGCAGTGGCCTCTGTGATCTTGAAGGGCCCAGGGAGCAGAGGGCACTGAGTCTTTGCTGCTGCCATGGCAGGTGGTCCCCAGAGACCCCAGCACCATCTGAGCTCTTCAAAGAAGTGGGAAGCCCCGGGCTGGGCTCTGAGTGAGGGGAGGTAGGGTTTCATGCCTTCACAGCTCACGGAGCTTCTCTTCCAGTACAAGGGCCCAGGAAAGGGCAATGGGACTCGGGACACTGAAATTCCATCCCGAGGCATACCTGAGGCTTTTGGGGGCACCTCACACCTTCCTACCCCCACACCTTCTTACCCTATCACCAACCCCCTACTGTCTCACTTGCCCTCTCTATCCAATGTGGGCCACACTCATATTTCCTTTTGGGAATCTTCCACTACAGTAGTGTAAAGGAAAGACTGGGGGAGCATCGAAGAAATGCCAGCAGGATATTTCAAGGGACAGGACAGCACTGGCAGAATCCAGATGTCCATCAGGATCAACTCTGAGTCCAAGCGTGTATATAGGGCTTGGAGCTAGGGGAACCAAGGGTGATGTATGACTTCTCCATGGTAGCAAGGAGAGGAGCCAAGTGGCAGAGGTGCCAGTAGGCTGTGGCAAGGAGCCCAGTTTGAATTTGACCTCTGAGCCCCCACCATCCCTTGTCCCTAAGATAAGGTTCTCACTGCAGCCTTGGTGGGAGGGAGGGGAGAGTCCAAGGCAGAACAGCACCACCGCCTGGACAACTCCAGCATCGCACCCTGCACCCACTCACCCCAAGGTGGTTCTCAGCGCAAGGGAAGAAGGGGATCCTCTAAAAGGCCCCCCTGTCTGTGGGCCGCCAGGCCACAACCCGCTGAGGGCTTTAGCTACACATCAGCCCTCTCTGGCTGGGGCTCCATTTCTCCAGGGCCAGATTCTCACTCATCTCGGGAGCCTCAGGAGTGGAGGGGAGGCAGCGAGGGAAGAGCCCAAGCCAGAAAATCACAGAACCCGGACACAGGGAAAAGAGATTCTGGATCAGCAAGACCCCGAGTCTTCACGCATCCCCTCCCCCAGCCCCTGCCAGCCAGCCAGCCAGAGACCTTTCCTTTTAGAAATAGCCCTCCAACACCAAAAACCCCTGCCCACAAAAAGGACCTGGACCTAGCACAGGCCTTGACGCCTGCCAGTCCCGAAGGCACACCCAGGTCTTGCCTCTTGGCGGCTGCGTGACCTTTAACAAGTCACCTCACCTCCCTGAGACTCAGTTTCTTCATCTGCCGAACGGAAACAAAACACTTACCTTGCAAGATTGTTGCAAGGACTAGATGAGATCGTGCAGGGACCATAAAGAATCCAGCTCAAGGCCTGGCTTCAAGCTAAAACTCAAAACATGAGCATTTCCAAACGGGCAGCTACTGGCATCCTCTCCCTGTGGCTGGCATGTCTCCCACACCCCCTACCTGTGGCTTTATGACTTCGGTCTCAGAAACCCAAAGGCATGACTTGCTGGAAACACCCACAGTGACCTCACTGCGGCACCCCCACCCCTGGCCCCCCACAGGCCAGGCATACCTGATAGGCTGAGGATGGGGCTGGACACTCACGGTGACTCTGGCAGAGCCCTGGGACAGAGAAAAGAGAAGCAGCATTACAGAGGGGCCCGGCAGAGGGCCGGCCATGGGAGCAGTCAGGGCTGTGGACAAACACAGATTCCCTTCTCCTCTCTCTGCCAACATTCCAGCCCAGGCACCCTAACACCCAGGCAACACGGCGACCTAGAGCCAAAAGCCATCAGCGCCGTTTCCTCGGGGGTATGCACGCAAGCCCTCAGAGGGCTCAGCTTCCCCCTCCCTGGGGAAGGAAGAAATCCCAAACACTGAGCACAGTCTGGGCTGGTGCTGTCCACACGGAGTCCACACTCACAATGAAACAGTCACTAAGCAGATGGAAACACGGTTCGTCTTGAGTCCCTGGACTGCGTCACAGCCAGTCCGGGGGGAAAAGATGGACCACAAACCTCAAAGAAGGAACGTCTGGTCCGGCAGCCCTCCGCCTGGCTCTGAGCCTTTGTCAGCCGACCGCCATCCCCCCACATTCCTCCCCTCGAGGCACTGCGGCTGTGCCATTCAACTAAGAGGTTGTGGGTCCAGAGCCGCTGGAGGAGCTGTGTACCAGCCAAGGCCAGTGTGAGGCAGCAAATCTCACTTTAAGGACCCACTGCCCATTGTCTGTCACCTCCTCAGCTGCTCCCATCCCCAAGGTGGTTCGCTGTCACAAAATTAGGCAAACAGATCCACACTGGGGTCCCAAACAACCCAGGACAACCCAATGGTGCAGGGAGGAAAGCTCAGGGCTGGGGCTCCTCAGCACCCCGCCAGGCCATCTTGTGCTGCTTGACACTCTAAGCTTCCATAATGTCTCAGAAAATGAGGCAGTCCTTACCGAGTGGCTTGACGATGAAAAGGAAGTAGGCATATGGGTCACTTATACAGTGTTACTGTTCTTACATCTGACCCGATTAAAAGAGTAGAGATACAACCATTATCCACCTCTACAGAAAATCAAGGCCTGCGTCGCCTCTGCCGCAAGCTGCCGCCCACCCCGTCAGCCACCTCACCTGATGCCCAAAGGCCCAGTTTCGAGCTCCCAGGCCCTGCCAGAGCCCTCAGAACCCACTGGCATCTTCCAAACCTCCCCGTGCCTCCCAGCCTCTCCCAACCTCCAAGCTGCAACCATCTCTTGAAGGACACAGGACCACAGTCTGCCGGGAAGAGGAGAAACTGAGGCAGCGACTCACCACCCCCCCAAGTCCCGGGGAAGTCGACAACTGGCAGGATTCGCCCTCAGTCTTTGGGTTTGACCGTGGGGGCCCGGAGCAGAGGAGCGCCTTCCAGCCTCTGCCAGGGCCCTGCGGCACCTACCAGGCAGGGGTGCATGGTAGGCTCAAAGGCCTGGCTCCCGGCTGGGCCCGAAGTCAGGGCAGCCCCGCAAATGGGAGGGCTCTCCATCCAGTCCCCAGAGAAGGCTGCAGCCAGAGCCCCCTCTGTGTGGGCTACGGCTGGCCCACCACCGCTCAGCCTCTGTGACAGCAGCGGGAGGAACAGAGAGCCAAGTGGGACTGTCGGCGTGGGAAGTTTCTGTCTCCACCACCCCCTGGCCCTGACGACTTGGGTTTACATGAGTCAGGCATGGGGGCGCGAGAAGAGGGTGGTAAGGAGGGATCGTGTTTGGTTTTCAAGCCCCAAACTGGGCTGTTCCAAGACGACCCACCCAGAAGAACACAAGAGACCCAACACTCCATCTGTCTTGAACTCACTGGTCCCTGATGAGGAGTCGCTGAACCTCCCCAGGCCCCAGGCCCTGCTCCAGGCCCCAGCGATCCTTGCTATAAATAGCCCCTCACGTCTCATCTGTTGCCGACCCACAGCCACTTCTGGGGGACTCAAACACCGGAAGCCAAAGCAGCAGCTGAGGCTCAAGGTGTGGTTCGGGCCACAGGTCCCAACCCATGGAGCTATGGGGAGACAATGCGATATTGAGACTGGCTTGGCGAGGGGACTGGGGAGCCAAGGGATGCCAGGAGCCTCCCAGGGTCCAGGGGTGAAAAGGAAGAATGGGGCAGGAGAGCTGGATCCCGTTTCTCCACCCCCCCTTCCCAACGTTACAACACTCCACATTCCTCAGCCTCCCCACCCCAAAAAAGTCAGGAAAGATAAATAAAAACTTGGCCCCAACAGAGTCTGGCCATGCCGCCTCCAGAGGTGATAAGACAAAGTCCAAGCCGCTGTGCTCCCCCAGGCTGGCCAGGGCAGGGGAGGCAGGGGAGGGATCTGCTGTGGGCCATGACCCCACCAGATGACAGGGATGGGAACAGCTGGATGGTCATCCCCTATTGAATCACTGGGCTGTCCTCTCGCTGATGGGGCTTCCTGTTTTCCGCAGAGTTTGGGGACATGTGACGCTTGCTGGCAGAAAGCAGAGACGGGTGACAAGTCTGAGTCCAGTGGACGTGGAGACTCACACGCCGTTGCAGGGCTAGGGGGTGGGAGCCAGCATGGCCTAATGCTCCAAAATGCACAGGTGACCTCACACAGGTAGCCAGAGACAGGCCCCCCACTGCTGCACGCCTCCCCATACAGGCTCTTTCTGAGAGGCTGGGAGTGAGTGGACACACGGGTCATCTCTGCTGCCCATCACAGTGCTTGAGCCCTCCTCCTGAAAGCCCTCACTGGGTGCCACCCGCTGTGTGCCCGACAACATACGAGGCACATACGGGGACCAGGTGAAGTCCCTGACCTCAGAGAACTTATATTCCATGAAGGAAGACACTCTTAGGAACCAACCCATCTGTAAAATGGGTACAGCCCAGAGCTCATGGGATTTCACGAGATCTACCTGTTCCACCTAATGCTTCCAAGGAAAATTACCAGAGGGCTTTACAAAGTCCTACAAAGATTTTATTTTAAAAAGAAAACTAAATTCTCTGTCCTCGGGTAATCTCATTCTTCTCCTGTCTGGGGCTGTCCGAACCCTTTGGCCCCCAGGTGTCCACTTCCTCCCGGCCCCTCCCAAGACTGAGATCAGTAAGACAACTTCAATTCAACTCCCTAGGCACCAAGAACTCTCTCCCTGTAAAGACCCAGATCATGGTCTCTGTCTCACGGAGAGAACAGCATGAAAGGAAACTCCACCCCCCTCCCCCGCCACCCCTGCCAAAATAGTGGTCTTGCTTCTCTTACTCTCGGAAAGTTCCTCCTGGTGTCTCACCCCCACTCCTCCTCCTGCAGATCCAACCAACTCTTTTTGCCTCCGTCCTCCCTGCTGACCACCACTCAGACATTCCTGAGTGGCTCAAGGTCTGCGGCCCTAGGCTCCAATCTTGCCTTCTCCACCATACAGCAAGGAGCGAGAACCTCAGGACTTGGGTGGGGTCGGTTTAGAGCAAAATCTACTGTGTGGGAAGAGTCCTGCCTGCCTTTGAGGTCCACAGACCAAACACAACAGCTCGGGACCAAAAGAAAAGGCGTTTCCTGAGCCCCAGTCCCTAGGGGGCCCAGTTGGGAGGAGGGTCTTTATGAAACACCAGGGGCCATGTCAGGCAGCCAGAAACTGGTGCCCAATCTATGTCAGGGGCCCATCCCCATTCCTACCTTTCCTCTGGGGGCTGTGGCCACCCCTTCCACCCCCCTCCAGCCCCTCCAGCCACACCCCTTCCTCTCTCCTTCCTGCCCACCAGCCTGGATTTTTCCAAAACAAAGTGCGACACAGCACACTGTCCACAAACCTCTCTAACACACCAGCCCTGCTAGAGGAAAACAGCCATTCCCGCCTGTGAGTCCTGGGCCATGGGCCAGAGCCAGGAAAACAGCTCAACAAACAGGCACACAAGCATGCCAGGAGGCCCAGGGTTGCAACGGCTCAGCCTCTGAAACTGGCCTCCTCACACGGGCCAGACTGCAGGGGGGCCCCAGGCTGGGCGGGTATGGACTAATGACCCCGGGAGCACCCAACCTGGGACAGGTGTCTGGGAACTTCAAAAGTGAGGTCTTGCCTCCTTTGCAGTACACAGGCCATTCTAGAATCTGCTCCCTTCACTAGACTGGCTAAACCAAGATTCATGTTGTCCCCCGCCCCACATCCAGACAGGACACAACCCTTACCCAGCGTGGCACGCCCAGACACACACACATCCTCATCCCAAATCAACAAAATTTTCTTCTAAAATAACCTCCTGTCCCAAATAAAGGGCCACCTCTTTCTTCCCCAGGACCAAGGTCATACCCACCATGGCGTCAAAAAGTCCTTCATGATGTCTAACTTCCCTCTCTCTTGCTGTAGCTTTCCCTGACCAGCTACGTCTGGCCCAGGCTGGAGTTATGGGAAACAGCAGCATTAGGACTTGGCTTTTAAATGTGCTCAGACCACTGTAAAAGGTTTGGTTCACACAGCATCCCTTGGTCAAGTGTTGGGAGAGCCGGTAACACCAGATCCAAGCAGCAGACCCAGAAAGGGAAGCAGAAGGCCCTCACCAAGTCACTGAGCCCTTTCAAGTCTCTGTTTTCCCATCTAACAAATAAGACCAGAGCATGTGCCATTGTGGGGGAGGGGGCGGGAGGGATAAATAAATATATAAATAAAAACCCAGTCCACCTCCTGGCCCTTAGTCAAAAGAATAGTAATAAGAATGGCTAATATTTATTGAGCACATATTATATGTTCTGTGTGCATTAAGTTCGTTCATCCTCAGTAGCAGGTACACACAAAAATTAATTTCTGACCCACACCCCGGCCCCAGAAATATCACAGACTTGGACCAGAGTCCCTCCCGACACTTGCACTCTGAGCCCAGGGGACCCATGCATACCTTGAACAGAGCCTTCCCCACTAATTTAGGAGGCATGCTCCCGCTCCGGACAGGCTATGCAGCCGGGGAACGCCTTGGCCTCCCAGGGTGGGCCCCAGGGCAATGCGACAGTGGCAGGCTCCCCACAGAAGTGTGGCTGCCTACGGGAGCTGTCTCCTGCGGCCCCAGCACCTCCCTCCGGGGCCCTCCCCACCATGGGTCAGGCAGCTGTCAGATGATAGGGCTTCATGCCATCAACAGCTCCCCCCGTGCCAACCGCCAAAACCACTCCCTGTTCCTCTGCAGAGCAGGGCGGGCAAGGATGGAGAGGCCAACAGAGGGGCAAACTGTCAGAGGAGGGTGGGGAAGAAAGAGGAAGGCCCAGCACTGGGGGTGTCTCCCCCAGGGATGTGAGGACAAGCCCAGACACAAGCATTGCTCAAAGCAGGGTCCTGGGAGAGCCCCTTCTGCCCTTCCCTGGGGTCTTTCCATTGTAGGAATTTGCCCCTTGACCTCCACCAAAAATGCATGGCAAGAGGAGCCCAGACGGCTCAGCTGGCTTGGCCCACCTTCCAGGCTGCTCCTGAATCGATGGCATTGAAATCACACAGATGACTCTGACATTTTCAAAGGTTCCGTTCTCCCAAGAAGCCAAGCCTACAATTCCCCAAGGTCTGACGACCCTGAGAGCCCACAAGTCCTTCTGCACCTCGGCCCTTAGTCCTTTTGCCCATTTCCCTTGGTCTTACCTTGGTGACTGCTCACCGCCACGCCAGGCCTCCAAGAGCCCTCCCTTTCTGCCTTCCCCGCCACCCACCCTGCAGCACAGAGGTCTGGCAAAGCGGTGGGCAAGTGAGCTCCGGAGCCAGCCGAGCTGGAGGCCAACACCAGACGGAGGCCCAGTGCAGAAGTGCACGGGGCCTGTTCATCACCCCAGCCCCTCCTCCCCTGCTTGGCCACAGAGCTGAGTGACTCCCGCCCGCCCTTCTGGAAAGGAGGCAAGGGATGTTCCACCAAATGGGACAGGTACGGGACATTCTCCCCTTCCCCATCCCCATACTTACGTCTTCCTCAAGGCTTTTCCGTGTGTTTCCACCCCGGAAAGCTCCTTCTCCCTGGAGACAGAGAAAAGGCAATCAGAGCAAGGAGTCAAGGAAAGTATTCAAAAGGCACCCTGGTTTCTCACCTCCTGGGTCTGGCGGGGGTGGGAGGGTGAGGGGGCTGGCAGAAGGGCCTCGGAGGAACTTAGCTGTTTGTTTAGCATTTTTTTAAAAGATTTTATTTGACAGAGAGAGACACAGCAAGAGAGGGAACTCAAGCGGGGGGAGTGGGAGAGGGAGAAGCAGGCTTCCTACTGAGCAGGGAGCCTGATGTGGGGCTTGATCGCAGGACCCTGGGATCATGACCTAAGTGGAAAGCAGACACTTAAGGACTGAGTCACCCAGGTGCCCCTGTTTAGCATTTCTTTGTCCACTAAAAGCCCCTCAGAGCTAACCAACCCTCTCGCCTGGGTCTCCCGACCACTTTTGCAGGAGATCTCCCTGTTCCCATTCAGCACGTGAGAACACTGAGGCACACACAAGCCCATGACTTGCCAACAGTCGCACAATTAGAAGCTTGGCAGAGGCAGGATCTGAATGCAAGCCCTCTAACCGGAAGCCCACTACTGGGCACGGGCCACGGCCAGGATATGTCCCTTGGCTGCCAACCTCAGCTTCTCCACTGCAGGACCCGCCCACTCTCTTCCCTTCCTCCTCCACGCAGCCTCAAGGAAACGGGGAAACTGCCTGTCTTTCTGCTAAGTCAGAAAGATCTGTTTGGAAACATCGCCCGGCTTTCTCGCACTCTGCATATTTAATAAAGAAACCCACATTAAACCACGGGCCTCTCCCACCTGCCTACTTCCCTAGCAATCCATTTCCGAACACACAAGTGAGGTCACGTGCCTGGCTCACAACGTGACCCACATCCCCATCACTCTCCCCCAAGTTCCTCAAATCGACTCCAAAAGGATATCCCCAGACATCTGTGTTCACTTTCCCCCCATATCGCCCTTCTGCCTTTGGGCCTCCCCACGTTGGCCCAGGGTGTTCCCCACCACCCACCCCACCTGCTGTCACTCACCGTGTCGGCTACATTCTTCGGGGCGCTCTCAGTGTTGATGGGCTGTGAACACAGGGAGAAACCAGTGTGAGGCCTCGGGGCAAAGAGCCACGGATTGGCTCTCTCCCCAGGGCTGGTGGCTGCATGGGCAGAAGGACTCCTAAAGCCAGCCCCACGGCATCAGCCCGAGGCTCAGACTTAACCTGGCTAACCCCAAGCTTGGGAGGCAGTTGGGAAAATGAAAAACAATCTTACTGGTACTAGAACCACCCAGCGCGGCAAACCTCACCAAGGCCTCTGACTCAGTGCTGACCCCTCAAAAAGGAACCCAGAGCAGGTAAAAGTCACACTTGTACCTCTGGGCCAGACACCTCCACTCACACCGGCTCATTTATTCACGACAAGAACCCAGGGGGGTAGGTCCCATGAGCTCCCCTGAGTCCCACTTCACAGAAGAGGAGGTTAAAGGAGTGGTAAAGTCATCGACTACTCCCAGCGACAATAGGATTTATACCCCATCCTGGGACTCCAGGCTCTTGGTGTGAAATCACCACAGCCCAGGACAGGGCCTGCCAGAGTCTTAACTACTGTGGGCTTCCAAGGCCCTCCACCATAAGCCCTGCCCACTCGTAGACCCCAGTGCCCCATCCAGACCTGTCCCCTAGCTCCCCTTGCTTATTCGCCATCTGGCCCTTTGCTTGTGGGACGGCTCCTCTGCCCACGCTCTTTTCCGACGAGCTGTCCTCTCCCCAACAAGGCCATTCCTGGACACCCAGCAAGAAAGACTTCCTCCCATCTTGGGACTCCAGTAAGCCTGCCCTCTGGGCTACGTATCTGGTCCTTAGGGTACAAATAATCTCATCACGGCAATATGTCTCGTTCCCCAATACGGTTTGGTGAGTCTTATCCCACCTGCCTAAACAGATTCAAAGCAGCACTGTAGGAAGTTCCACGGTCATGTCCCTCATGCCAGGGACTGGGATGGATGTGTAGAGGGCCACCAATAACCCCTGTGGACTGAGCCTGTCCCACGTGCCAGTGCCACCCCTTCCCAGCCAGGACCAACAGACGTGCTTTCTACTAATGGCATCCTGAGAAGCAGGCTCCTTGGACTCTCCTGTAACGGGAGAGAAACTTCCCACTCCAGGTCCACTTCATGCCTCCAGTCTCTGGGGCTCCATTACCAACCCAGTGAAGTGATTCCAGGGTCCCCTGAGTCACATAGAAGGACAAGAGCTTGACCGTGAAGGTGAGGAAGTAAAGCCTTTGCCAAGATGAGCAGGGACCAGCTCAGGAGCCGGTGACTCAGAATAGGAAATGCCCACCCTAACCCCATTCCTGGTGAGCCCCTCACCCCTGAAGAAGACAGGGGAATGGACAGAAGGGCCTCTGAAAGGCTTTGCCATCAGGAAGGACAGCAGGGCCAAGATGGGCATGGAGGAAAAGAGCCAATGGAGGTCAAGGTAGCAGTACTCTTTCAGGAAATAGCCTGGACTCCTTTCCCCCTAAAGCCTGGAGGATGGAGAGCTGAGGTCAAAACTTCTTTCCAAGGCAGCTTAAATAGTGGAGGGAAGACAAGACCCGAGAACAGAGCAGGAGATGGGAAGGCAAGTCAGTGGGGCCCTCCCAACCCCCAGGTCAACCCACCTGAAGCCTGAGGATGGCTCTGGAGAGGAAAAGATGCCACATTCCACCCCCTTCCAGCCCAACCCTGGTCCTCCCCCAAACCCCTCCTAGCCCCCACTCCCAAGCCACAGACCACCAGGCAGAGACCTCTGACCCAGGCTCGGCTCTAGGAGCTGCCTGCTAATCGGGGCCAGGTTCTTCCCTCAGCCTCCAAAAACCACCAGCCCCAACCAGGGGCGTCCACAGCAGCGCCGCTAGCCCCCCCGTCCCAGAACCCCCACCTCTCCCTTCTGGTTCAAGGCTCTACAGAGCTCCAGCAGAGACCTCGACGAGGCAGGAACGCCCAAACTCATCTTCTCTGGGCGGCTCTGGCCTCCAGGTGAGGAGGAGAACCAGCAGAGCAGATCCCAGGGGCCTTCTACATGCAGATTCTACACCAGAGGACTACGATTTGAATTCAGATCTCTCAACCCCAAACCCCTCACTCTTCACCAGCCTGCCTAGATGGGGGCGGTCAGAAAGGACAGAAATGGGGTAGGAGGGAGAAGGCAGAGACAAAGCACTGCCCCAGGCCCACAACAGGCCCTGAAGAGCCCCTCATCCTGCTCTGGGTGAAGCCTCCTAAGAGGCCCGGACTCTGGACAGAACAGAACGTGAGCCAGCAGCCCGGGACAGCCCTCAGAATCTCCTGGAGGGCTGTGGACACACAGGGGATGGGCCCTGCCAGGAGGGTCTAACCTAGTGGGACCCAAGAATGTGCCTTTCTCAAAGGTTTCCAGACCTGGGAATGACACTTAGAAAACCACGGGTCTCAGCGAACAGCGTTAGCCGTAACGGCCGGGGCCAAGTCCTGACTCGCTCTGATTCCTGTCCCGTGTGACCTCAGGCAGGTCACTTTGTCCTCGGGGCCCTTCACCAGGCCTGCAGGGTGCTGTTTTGTGAGCACCAAATGGGACGGAACACATGAAGCGCTTAGAGGGGGCCTGTCCTTAGGAAGCTCTCATTAATGTCAGCTGTCATTTCTCACCCGCGCCCTGCTGCACGCTCTGGAGGCCCAGGCCGCCCCACCTTGACCCTCCTGCACTGTCCACCCCTCCCCAGTCTGGCACGACGCAAACTGGGGAGACGGGAGCCAATATTAGAAACCACAGGCCTCAGCCCCACTGGAGAAACTTCCCTCCCGGCCAGCAGCCTTTGAGCAGCAGCTCCCCTGCCCTTACCCCTTCCCCAGGCCAGCCCACAGATGCTGCAACTTACTGGCCAAGGTGCCCCCTGGGAAGGCAAACATTTCCAAAAGCCTGTCCGGAGTGACACGCCCCATGTTTTCCCCACAGCGTTTGCAGACACGGCCCAGCATGCAGGCCTAGCTCCCCACCCCTCTCCTCCGGCCCAGTCCTCCCAGGGTGGAAGCCCTCCCTGCTTCCCTACTTCCCAGGCGCCGCCAACTCTGGGGCTACTGGGAATGAAAAGGGCAAGAGGCAGGTTGCATGAGGGCAGGCTCTCCCCCAATGCTGCCCCCACCCCACCCCAGGCCCCCAGCGATGCTGTAGGGAAGCTTCCAGAACACCCGAGCTGTGGGTCCAAAGCCAGAGCCAACGGTCAGAGAGCCCCACTCAGCGTGGGCTGTTACCCACCTTGGACACACCCACGCAAACATGTCCTTTGTCCCCGTGGTGTGGTTTATTTTTCTCCTTAGAACTCCCTACTCTCCAACACACGATGTATTTTGCTTCCTGATCTCACTTAGGGTCTTCTTTCCCTGCTAGCACATAAGTGCCCACAGCCCCCAGAGCCTAGGACTCGGCCTGGAACACTGTAGGCCCTCAGCAAATACTAGCTGAGTGAGCCGACCAGGAGAGCCCCTCACTCTCTTCCCTGACCCCCTGACCATGCTCACCGCTGACGACGCAGCACCCCTGGCCCTTCTGGAGCCGAGGTCTCTAAGTTCCATCTTTGCTTGGATCTGGGCCAGGACACAGCCCATCCTTGCATACCACTCCTCAGAACACCGGCTCTGGGAAGAGCCATCTCCTCCCTCCCTGTTTCACAGATGCGGAAACTGAGGTACAGAGAAGCACGATGCCCCACCTCTCACAGTGGGGTCTGTGGCCAGACTGGGGTTGGCACCCAGGTAAAGGAGAGCCCCCTGCTGAGTTCACCTTCCTGCCCCTCATCTCCATGCCTAGTCTTCTGGCCCAGTTAGCAGAATGCCTCCCTGCAGGCTCTCCTCTTCCTTCCCCCTTAGGCTCGGCTACAGAAGGATATGGTGCATGGAGCCCAGACAGAGACAGCACCCCCACATCTAGCCATACCCCCACCTAAGCCCAGGACAAAGCCTTTGGCTTTTTTTTTTTTTTTTAAGATTTTATGTATTTATTTGTGAGACAGCAAGAGGGAGAGAGCCAAGGAGAAGGCAGAGAGAGAGGGAGAAGCAGACTCCCTACAGAGCAGGGAGCCGGATACGAGGCTCTATCCCAGGACCCTGAGACCATGACCTGAGCTGAAGGCAGACTCTTACTAAACTGAGCCACCCAGGCATCCCGACAAAACCTCATTCTTCAGGACCCCAGGCCTTCCAAAACTGAGGGCAGCCAATGCACAGCCCCACCAGGGGTCTTCCAGAATACTCCTTGCCCCCAGGCAGGACAACTCCAAGCAGGAGGCAGGGTTGGGACCTGGTGTCCCTTGATGGCCACACCTTGTGCTTCCCAGTTCACTCTGCTCTAGGGTCTCAAAACCAGGTTCTGGGGTTAGGAGCTTCGGGCAGGAAAGTTCAGGAGGCGTTCACTCTCAGCTTGCTGGACATGCACCCACACAACGCTGACAGCCAGGCCGCCTCAAGTGTCCCACCCTGCGTGCCTCCCCTGCCTGTCCTCTTCCTGCCCAGCTTTTGGGGTGAGGGGGAATACCTTTTCATAACAGCAATGTGCTAACAATCACTGTTCCCAAAGTGCTAATGATCTGGGTACAATACCAAGTTCTTTACTTCCACGATCATAGGTCCTCGGAACCACCCCAGGGAGGTAAGCATGACCCCACTTTGCAGTTGAGATGGAAGGCCCAAGAGGTTCAGTTAACTTGCCCAACATTGCACAGCTGGTCTTTGACCTGGCCTCCCTCCATCCTGGGTTCGTTCTCCTCTCCCTGACGAAGACCCTCACTCACTAAAAGTTCATCTCGGTCAATGGCCCTCCCATCGGGAGCAAGCTCTCTGTGACTTAGAGTGGAACCTTCTCGGGTCCTCGGGAGGAAGAGACTCCTTCAGTCCACTACCATAGGAAGAAGAGGAAATGGACGGCAGTAGGAGACACTGAGATCAGACATCAGCGAGAACTTCCTGAATGTGAGGGGTTGTGAACCACAGGGCGGATAAGGGAAACTGCACATCCTTTGCTTTTTTTTTTTTTTTTTTTTTCCCCAAAAAAAGACATGCACGC